TGAGCTCACTTATATACCGAAAATGTTCTATTCTACAACATTAAATAACTCGGGACAAGGCGGATGGTACATGGACACTGGCGCTATGGCTCATCATCATTCTGATGCAAGTACTCTCAACTTTGTTTTAGATAATAAAAGTAATTATTCATCCTCAATTTTAGTTGGTGACGAGTCATCCATACCCATCACTAAAATTGGTCATACATCTCTCCCAAATCTTTATCGTACCCTCAATCTTAAAAATGTCTTGATTACCCCTCATATAATTAAAAATCTCATTTCCGTTCACCAGTTTACTGGTCAAAATATGTGATCTATTGAATTTGACTCTTTTGGTTTTTCTGTGAAGGACTATCAGACAAAACAAACTCTAATGCAATGTGACAGCACCGATGACCTCTATCCTGTCACGGATCGTACTCTTCAAGTATTTTCTTCCGTTGCTCAGTCAATTTGGCACCAACACCTAGGTCACCCCGGTCTCCATGTCATCAACTATCTAGTTCATAATCGTTCTATTTCTTGTTCTTTTAATAAATACTCTAGTTTATATCATGCTTGTAAAATTGGCAAACATGTTATGCTTCCACTTAGTGTGTCGAATTCTATTACTCATTTTCCTTTTGAAATTGTGCACTCTGATGTTTGGACCTCTCTGATTAAGAGTATTAGTGGTATTAAATATTATATCATATTTTTGGATGGGTTTTCTCATTTTTTGTGGGTATATTCGTTACGTGCCAAATCTGAAGTGTTTTCTAAATTCATGCACTTTCGTTCATTTGTCAAAAATCAATTTCAAATTGACATCAAATCTTTTCAATGCAACAATGGGGGTGAATATGACAATCATCAATTTCATCAATTATGTGATGAAAATGGTATTCAAATGTGTTTTTCGTTCCCTTACTCGTCCTAACAAAATGACAAATCTAAACGCATGCTCCACACCATTACTAATGTCATTTGTACACCTTTGTTCCATGCTCGTATACCTCTAACTTATTGTGTTGAAGCTCTACACATGGCTACACACCTACTCAATATCTTTCCTACAACTACTCTCTACAATGACTCTCCATATCACAGACTATTTCAAAAACAACCATCATACTCTCATCTTCATGTTTTTAGATGTCTTTGTTTTCCACATATTGTTACTTCTCATAAACATTCAGCAAAATCCATCCCATGTGTCTTCCTTAGGTATACCTCCAATTATAAAGGTTATAGATGCCTCAATCTGGATACTCAAGAAACTATCATATCTCATCATATTGTCTTTGGTGAAACTGTTTTCCCTTTAAGATCAATGCCCTGAATTTTGCACCATCATACTCTTTCCTTGGCTCTCTCGATTTCACTCAATCTCCATCTTCCAATCAAAATCATTTTGACGGAGGTGTTCCTCACGAAACCTAACTTCCTACTTATCACTTTATTTTTAATGAGACTTCATCCATCACCATCCCTCATTTGTTGGAATGAAATCCTACCACACCGACAATCCCTACCCATTCGACATCTTCCTCGCTGAAAACTCCCGTCTGCAAGTTGTTCCCCTTGGCTATCTCTACTTCATCCCCTTCATCGACGAAATCAGATTCGTCTCCTCCCACCAACACCAAGTCTTTAAGGTCTCAACACCCCATGTTGACTCGTGCAAAAAACGGGCATTTATAAGACCATCTGGAAGCTCAACCTTCATGTTGACTCCTCTTCTCCTAATCCTCAAAACTATTTGCATGCCTTACAGACCAAATTGGCTAAAAGCAATGACTAATGAATTTATGGCTCTTATCTCAAACAAAATTTGGGTTCTTGTACCACGACCACATGCTTCTAATGTTATTAATTGTATTTGGCTGTTCAAAAAGAAACTTAATACATACGGTTCTCTATCTTGTTACAAAGCGACACTTGTTGCTAATCGTCGGATTCAGAGACCTGACATTGACTGTGATGATACATTTAGCCCGGTTGTGAAGCTAACTACTATACAGACTGTTCTCAGTATTGTTGTAACCCATCAGTGGCCTATTCGATAGCTCGATGTTAAGAATGCTTTTCTCCATGAACATCTTCAGGAAACTATGTATATGCAACAACCTCCGGTTTTTAAGGACCCTAATGGGCCTAACCATGTTTTCCTACTTCAAAGCTCTCTATATGGTCTCAAGTAGGCACCTCGAGCTTGGTTTCAACGGGTTGCTATGTTTATCTCACGTTTTGGTTTTGTTCATAGCAGGTGCGATACATCATTGTTTATTTTCATACAAGGTTCTCATATATCATATCTGCTCTTGTATGTAGATGATATTATTCTCACCGGATCCTCTTCACAATTGCTAACCCGTATTATGTCCGTCCTTAGCTCTGACTTTTCCATGACTGATCTTGGCGATCTACATTATTTATTGGGCATTTCGGCTACTAGATCAAAGGATGGTATGTTCTTATCTCAACAAAGCTATGACAATGAGATTCTTGAACGGGTGTCCATGCTCAAATGTAAACTTCCTGAACACCTACTGATCTTTCTGCTAAGTTCGATAGCTCTGGGCCTCCAGTTGCCGACTCCACTTTATATCGTAGCCTTGCCGGTGCACTACAATATCTCACGTTCACTAGACCAGACATTTCATATGTTGTTCATCAGATATGTTTATATATGCTCGATCCTCGGGAACCTCACTTTACCACTCTTAAGCGTATTCTATGCTATATACGTGGCACTACAAGTAATGGTTTTCAACTTTTCTGCTCTTCGTCTTGTGACATCATTGTTTACTCTGATGTTGATTGGGCTGGTTGCCCATTCACCTGTCGATCTACATCTGGATACTGTGTTTTTTGGGACAAAATTTGTTGTCTTGGTCATCAAAATGTTAGAATACCGTCTATCGATCTAGTGTAGAAGCAGAATATCGAGGTGTTGCCAATGTCATTGCAGAAACTTGTTGGATTCGAAGCTTGCTTCTTGAACTTCACTACTCGCCACATCAGGCTACCATTGTTTATTGTGATAATTTGGGTGATGTGTACATGTCTACTAACCCGGTCTAACATCAACAAACAAAACATATTGATATCGATCTTCATTTTGTTCGAGACAAGGTTGCCACAGGTCACATTCGAGTTTTACATGTGCCATCATCTTCTCAATATGTTGACATATTTACCAAGAGTCTTCCATCGCCTCTTTTTCTAGACTTTCGGTCCAGTTTGAACGTACGTGATTCTCCTCCCATTCGCACTACGGGGGGCTGTTAACGGATCATTATTTCTTGTATTATTTATACTATTGTATAGATAACCCACATTAGTTGTATTCAGGCTCTTTTCCCATGTATTTTGTATATATTCTTTAATCATGAATGGAATGAGGTCACGGGAAATTATTAGAATTTCAAAGAAAGTCTGCACTTGGTGCTAAAAATGGAGATTTACTTCATTATAGGTGATATGGAATTTTGGGAACGAGACTTTGTTTGGAGGTGGTTTTTTATAAATGGTAAAAGTATATCACATAGGCATCATACAAGTTTTTACTATTTTTGCCTCAATGAGTGGGGTGTGGTAGTTTTTTTTGCTAATGGTAAAACTTTTGTTTACAAAAAAAAAGGGTTTCAGATGAAAATATCAAAGATAATGTGCTAATGTGTCTCGTTTTTTGTTGGTTGAATTTTTTTGACGTTCAACTTCTCATCTGCACATATATGCCGCTCAAGATCGTCGATGGCAAAAAAAAAAAGAAAAAAAAAGAGACTCAAGATGCGGTGTTTGCGGCCGGCATTAAATGCCAAATCAGATTGCCGCCGGCAAAGACCATACCGTTTGTTAAAAATCAATATACTAGTAATAATCTTGAGCCATCTCCCAACAAAAATTTACAATCATTCTTACACATTTGATCTGTAATACACTTTACAATGACCTATTAAGTACTTTGTTGATTTTAACTGATATACTAATGGAATAATATCGTTGTACTAAACCAAACTTTTAATGAGATATCTCAATAAAGTCAAAAATGTTCTTAACAAAATGATGCAACAGAAATATATCTTGAAAATATAGTGACTAGATCTGTACAAACAAATAACAGCCACCCCAGTGAGACAAATTATGGAATTATATTATTATTATTATAATTGTATATTAATATTTATCTAAAACTAAATTAATTGTATTTTTTTTAAATTTACCAAAGGAATCGAATTTACAGGGGGGTTTTCTTAGAAACCTTCAAAACCAAGGATCCACAAAAGTTGCAATTTTCAAACATGAATAAAAGGATCACTTGAGAGTACTACTTATTCCTTCTTCCCCCATCTTCAAGTTAAGAATCATTTATGGTCCTTTTTCTCCATGTTTACATTTATTAATCCTCTATTACTCTAACTCCCTCTCACTTATATATATATATATATATATATATATATATATATATATATATATATATATATATATATATATGTGTGTGTGTGTGTGTGTGTTATAGATGGAGTATCTATCTTTTTACTTGGTACTTATTTTAAAATTAATAAAATATATGAAAATCATGTCGACAAATAATAATCTAGTGTAAATTCCCAAAAAAAAATAAAAATAAATAATAGAATTCATTTATAATAATTGGTTTATGCTAACTAAATATAATGTATATTTCAAAATTTTAATTATTTAGGAATACATATTGGAAGTCCCATATATCAAATCAATATTCGAACACAATATATCTATATCTGCTTCTCGTAATTAATACAAAAAAAAATCATACTAACAATCATTTAATTTTGTACAAAATACTTGGATCATGTGAAATTATATGTATTTTACAATAGGAAAAATAAAAAGGACATTTGGTGGAAAGAAAAAGGAAAGACTCTGTTGCAAGACATTCTCTATTCTCTATAACACAACAGTCCCAACTTTTTGCATACTATATAACACTCAACCCCATTTTAACCAAGTTATCTAAATTGTTAGAGAAAATGGCAACAGCTAAACCCCCAACCCCAAATCAAGCCACCCCAACACATTCAAATCTGGTTAGACTCATTGCAATAGTCTTACTAGTACTCATAGTCCTTGTTGGTCTAACCATTCTCATCATCTGGCTAACCATTAAGCCAAAAAAGTTGGTTTACTCCATTGATGATGGTTCTATCAACAACTACAATTTATCCGATGGCAACCACCTAAACTCAACCTACAACTTCATCCTTCGTGCATACAACCCTAACAAGAAAGTGTCTGTCTACTATGATAAAGTTGATATTGAGGTTCTATATGATGATGAAACTCTTAGCAGAGGGATTATTGATCCATTCCATCAGCCTAAAAGAAACGCAACCCGTTTTAAGTTGAATCTTGCATCACATGATGTACAGTTGTCTGATCAGATTGCACGAGACCTGAAGACTGAAAGAACGTCAGGTCGAGTTGAAATGACTGTGAAATTGAGGGCTAAAATAAGGTTCAAGGTGGGAGTGTGGAAGTCAAGACACTACCACATGAAAGTATCGTGTGCACCTATAATGGTTCATTTTTCTACATCTTCCAGGGGCTTTCAAAGGACCATGTGTGATGTTGATATTTAATTTTTAGGGTTGAATTGTGTTTTTCTTGGATATGATTAGGGCGTGTTTTGTAATTTCGTTGCTCTATTTGTTTTGTTTCTATTTTTGTGGATTTGGGTGAATTTTAAGTATTATAATTTGTATGTGTGATTTATTTACTTGAAGACATCACGTGATACCTTTTAATATTTTTTGTAACACTGTTTCGTTAAGCTACAACTTATTTACCGTAGTACATGTTTAATTGTAATTTTTTAAAATAAATTTATTGACATTCGCAATCACAACTTTTTGCAAATGAGTAAGACAAACCCAAAACAATAATCAGGAATAAATTAGAATTAGAAAATTAAAACTGAAAAGTACGGAGAGAACTGAATAATCCTTCTCTTTACGTCTCTTTCTATCTCTATGGTCAAAAGTCAGCTTTTGACCTCCAACTTTTATTTTTTTACATATTAGACCCTAGACTTAACATTATTATCACCATTTAACCTTCATTCTCCCCTTTGACATCATGCTAAGACCAACCCTTATTTTTCCAACAGAAGTTTACCCGACTTTGCTTTGATTCTCTATCAAAATCCCCATCATGCCTATCGGAACCCGTACATACCTTAGGTACCCATGCTTTGGCAAATGCTCAAAACATTACACAAACTAGCAAAAACCCAAGTTCTTTGTGTTTCCTTCATCGAGTCATGAAGAAACTTTTCCATGTTGTATAAGTGACTGTTTTTCTTTGATTATTATCGAGCAAATGATTATGAAATCTTTGCCATTTTTTTCTTTCGGACACCAAGGTCTCCCCCTAGATTTAAGAGACAATCATAGCTTATTTATTTTAGGATAATAAAACAAAGAAAATGATGTTTTGAAATTTACGAAAAAGTTGACGCTAATAAAATCTTCGAAGTTAAATTACTTTTTTCTAATGGGCTATTATATGAATTTCCTTTATGTTAGCCTTTTAAAAATTAGAAACTTATTAACTGAAGGAGTTTAGCCGGTTTATTATAAAAACAATCTTATTTTAAGAAAACGTCTTCTACTTGAGCCATTTTCTCCTCAGAGTTATTACAGAAAAATTGTTAATGTAAAAATAAATCCTTATATTGTCTTTTGCATGTAAGAAAATGAGCAAATTAGCCAATTAGATCATTATTTAGTTTCACAAGATGTCATTGATATTTTCGCTAACTTATCCTCTCTTGCTTTGGATCTGATATGGTCATATCATAACTCAAAGTTCATTTATCCTAATTCCAGAAAAAAAAATGATGATTTAGATTATGGGCCATATCTTTTAAACTTCATAACTTTTGGAGTTATATGGCTTTGAGAAGTTGGTAAAGTATTTATGGGCCCATCAAAATGCTGATTATGCTATTTTGAAAGAAACAAATTTATTATGTTCATGGATAAACATAATTTTCTTTTTTAATGAAAAGGAAGCTAAAGGATTGGAATGGAGATTTGAAAACTAAGAGGAGGAATTACAATTTGACTTGAAAAATAAAATACAAAAGTCAGACGATGCCATAGACATGGGGATGGTTGTTCAAGATTTTCATGTTGTCCGACACAATTTACTAAAAACATTTTTAGATCCCAAAAATTTCGGAAAATACGGATTTTCTTCCAAAGGCGACGGTGGTGGAAGGGGATTAAAATTTTATCATGGGATGCCTAATAGAAAACAAAGACCTCTTGCTATGAAGGGAGTCATGAAATATGAGGAGTGGATGATCACTTTACCGAATGAAGTCTAAGACGTATTTTTAGCTTTATGGCGATAAATTTCAACCCCATATTCGGGTTCGGCTTATGAAAAGAAGTCCCTGTTTGCGGGTATGTTTTGTATATACATTTAGCCCATTAGAGTTAGGGTTTTGTGTACTCGGCCTTTGACCTTTGTGGCTTGTTTGTATTGTGTACATATATTTAGTCTCATTGTTTAATGAGAATTGTTTTTCATGGGAACATAACTATTATTATGGTATCACGCTACATTGGGTTTTAACCCTAGCCGATCCTTCTCCTTCAAAACGATCTAGTCGATCATTCCCCTTCATGTCTTCTTCTCCTATTTTATTTTTTTCTGTTGATTATCTCTCTCTCCGTGTTTGGAAAAGAAAGCAGCCATCCTAAACCAACCCATCGTGCATTTGGTGTCACCAACATAAAAACCTACGTACCACTGATTCTCGACATTACTACCCACAATTATGAACCTTGGAGTGATCTGTTTAAAGCCCACTGTATTGCTAATGGCATTGTTGATCATATTGATGTCACATACGATCCACCAACTCAACCTCCTACAGATGCAACATGGCAAGAATTGGATTCTCTGGTCAAGTTATGGATTTTTGGATCAATTTCTCAAAAAACTGGTCACTTCAGTTCACTCGAATAATGCATCAGCTAAAAAGGTTTGGCAAAATCTCCACTCTTTATTCTATGAAAATGTCGAATCTACAACTATGCAACTTGAAGATGAGTTGAGGAATGTTACATTAGGAGATCTCTCTATTCATGATTATGATGGGTTTTGATACAAAATATAAGTTTGTTTTTCATAAAAACCGCAACGAAATACTTTAAAAATAACAAGTTTATTTTAAGTTTATAACAAAACCAAACCATCAAGGATCCATTATAGAGGTTAGAATGAAATAAAAACAACCAATGAGTTTTTAGAATGACAACCTTTGAAGCCTTTGGACCCACTTGGTTTTTGGGTGTTGATGAAGATAGCAAAAAATCGAAGAACATGATTTCTCTATGTGTATCCACTATCAAGAGTAAGACACTTGGAATGCTAATTCCTTCTTGTATTCTTGTGTGTCTTAAGCATTTAAGTGCTTAACTCAAATAAGCACTAAAGGAGACAACAAATGTTCTAAAAACCGGTTTTAGTTGAACCGGTATGACGACCGGTTCCTGGTTCAACCAATTCGATCGTCGGGTCAACCGATTTCTATAATTTTCATCTTTTTTTTTTATTTTTCTACACATACATACATACATAAATCATAAATTTGACGTCTACAAGTTCAAACATTAAAAATACACATAAAAATAAGTTGTAGATCAATCTGAATACATTAAAACAACACATAACTACAAGTTTTACATCAAATTCACATACATCAAAAAGAAAATAAAGTATAATACTGAAACAAAATATAGTTTTAGATGAATACAAGTGCATCAAAAAACATCATAACATTTACCATATGTTTTTATTTGGAAAAATCTAAATAGATGTGAAAAAGTCCACCAAAGTTTATTATTGAAAATGATTTTTTCCATGTATTTTTATTTCGTTTAACCGGTTTATTTTGACCGGTTGAACTGGTTTTTTCTAAAAACCGGACGGTTTAATCCGGTTCAGAAATTGGTGTAAAACCAGTGATAGTTGAACCGCTCCCTTCCCCAGTTTTCAGTCCAACCGGTTTGATCGGCCGGTTCAAACCGGTTTTTAAAACACTTGAGACAACTCAAGAAGGCTTCTAAGCTTGCAACAATCTTCAAAAGACAACAAGAAGAGTAGAAGGGAGGAGGTTTCATCCATATGGAGAATGGAGAGAGCTCACTAGAAAAATTAGCCAAAAACTCATGCAAAACACTCTCTTATATACCCGTGCAAAGGTAAGGGCTTTACATTAAAATACTCTAAAGTAATGTAGCCTTTAGAAGCATGGGGAGAAAAAGCATGAAGGTTGACAAGAAACCTCATTCTTTGTTTAATATTTTCGGTTATACCTCTTGAAAAGAGAAGAATTCTTTAATTTTTATAAACTCAAAGTTTATAAAATATAAACTTAGTTTTTAGGTAAAGGACAAAAGAATTCAACTAGTCCAAAAAGTTATATATGACTTATTATTTCATACCATGTGAAATAATAAGTAGTTATACTCTCTTATAATTTTTATTTTCACAAAACAATAACTATTCCCTAATTAAAATACAAGAATTGATATTATTTATTAGTAATCACATTAATAATAAATATACAAAATGTGCCAACTTGATAAAGGTGTGACCCTATAGGATCATATATTATTAGCAATGTCACTTAATAATGATTCTTGGACATATAGATTCAACAATCTCCCACTTGCATAAGATTCATTACAGAATGACATAGACAGTAGCTGACGTCTAGCAACGGGCTGCTGCCCCTAACAACATATGAAGGGTGTCATCTCATCAACAACCAATTCCAGGAGCTTTAAGCTATAATTGTTACTAAAAGTGTGGTATCAATTATTCCTTTGTCTCAGACATCATGTCGAACATGAGATATAGATCGCCATCAATCTCATTTAGTGTTCAACTTTTAGTAAGGCCTTAGATGTCTAACTCTCAATGAATAAGAGGGAAAAATCCTATCTGGACTACATACGCCCATTAATGTAGTTCATGTCATACCCAATGATGGCCCTAATGACTGCCTTTTAAGGAATAACGTTAAACCATGTCAAAACACAACAATTCCCACACTTCAAGTCCTAAATATGTATCTCAGGTCTAAGAAAACAAAGATACAATCTTAATCAAAACATCACTCTTAACTACGATCCATAAAGTGATTTTGATGTGAGTCAAGTCCAATACTTATTCTCTAATCAAATACCTACGAAGTTGGTAGCAGGCTAGCAGCTCTTGCTATTCTCATCTCCATGAGAATCCACCAATCCACTCATATTAGTCTTACTTCATAGATGCTACCACAACTATGAACAACTATGGACATTTGGAATAACCTAGTTATTCGAGGATTTAAACATGTTGATATAGAACACAACAATTATTCAATGAAAGACTCATGTCCAATATATCAATTTATTACAACATATGTTGCTTGTACTGTTCCAATATCCAAATACTAAATTTCAATCAAATACATCTACTTATATCAACAAGTTCCTATAGCACCAACTTGACTTTCATGCTTTAGCTAATGAAGGATCTTTGTTAAGTAGATTTGACAAACTTGATTTGTATAAAA